AAGCTGCACGCCGTCCTCAAGGAGTTCGAGCAGCTGGTGGACACCGCCTTCCGGGCGCTCGTCCTCGACAAGCACTGCATCGAGCCGCAGCGCTACCTGGTCATCTACTACCTCGCCTGGGACAGCAATGAGGAGTCGGTAATAGCGGCTGGACTTGTCTTTTTAGAAACGAGTCATGTTTCCTTTTTCCATTTCCAGGGCCTCTCTCGTCTACAAGACCTGATCTCCTCGTTGGAGCTGCGAGAATCCAAGAATGGCTACATGTACTACGAGAGCGCCAAGCTGATCTCCCGATTGGTAAGTGGAAAAAACTGCAAGAGCAATTTTGTAAGAATTAAGTGGATCTAACTTTCTCTCCCATCAAAATAGGCATTTCGAAATCACAACATTCTCCTGCATTCCTTCTCACTGGTGGAGCGCGCCGTCTTCCTCGACCCAACCAACGTCGAGTACGTCTGCGAGCTGGCGTCGCAATGTTTGCTTCTCAGTAAGTACGAAAGAGGGATTAGCAGTTGTAATTTAACTGCTGCTCTTAACACTTTTCAATTTCTTTTTCCTCTTTCTCTCCCTTCTTTCCCAGAACGATTTCAGGACGCTCAGCGGCACTACCGCAACGCTTCGAAGCTCAACTCGACCAGCTCTAAGCCGATGACGGGCCTGCTGAAGGCGCAGCTAATGGAGTACGAGGCAAAGGAGGCAGAGGCGAAGGACGCCGCCGCTGCGGCCGCCGCTCGCTCCGCCATGGAGAAAATCTTCACCGAGATCGATAATCTCGAGGAGTTTAACCGCTCCGCCGGACTGAGCCAGGCAAGTGCGGGCAGTTGGCTTGATAGATTGAATTTTTCATTTTTCTCCTTTAGGATCTACTTTATCTTTGCGCCAAAGCGTACTACCGCCGAAAGATGTCCTACTCGGCGATTGAGAAGTACTTGGAGCAGTTTCTCAGTGCACTGAAGAGTAAGATTACCGTAAGTGAGAAAAAGAGAGAGAAAGATTGAAATCCGAGCCAAAATAATTCTTTTTTTATCTTTAGGTAATCACCTTCTCCATCGACTTCTACACCAATCTGGACGTGAAGCAGCTCGTCGACATGATCGAGATCTGCCTCTCGCTGGGACCCAATGAGCCGCTGGTCACCGGGCAGCAGGTGCCGGCGATGCTGCACTATGCCATCGAGTTCACCGCCCTCCTCAGCAACGCCTTCCCCAACCACAAGGAGGTCTGCTACTTTACGGCCCTGGTCAAGTACCTGCACTGTGAGATCCAGTCGGCCCTCAACCTCATCAACCGCTGTCTGGCGCACGACCCCGACTTCATCAACGCGCACATTCTCATGGCGAAGATCNGAGCCGCTGGTCACCGGGCAGCAGGTGCCGGCGATGCTGCACTATGCCATCGAGTTCACCGCCCTCCTCAGCAACGCCTTCCCCAACCACAAGGAGGTCTGCTACTTTACGGCCCTGGTCAAGTACCTCCACTGCGAGATTCAGTCGGCGCTCAACCTCATCAACCGCTGTCTGGCGCACGACCCCGACTTCATCAACGCGCACATTCTCATGGCGAAGATTNAAGGAGGTCTGCTACTTTACGGCCCTGGTCAAGTACCTGCACTGTGAGATTCAGTCTGCCCTCAACCTCATCAACCGCTGTCTGGCGCACGACCCCAACTTCATCAACGCGCACATTCTCATGGCGAAGATTTCCATCTTTGATCGCAATTTCAAGACGGCTCACAAGTGTCTGGAGANTTCCATCTTTGATCGCAACTTCAAGACGGCTCACAAGTGTCTGGAGAATGCACTCTCGCTTGACTTTCAGGTACGGTACTGTGGTGGTGGTGGTGGGGATGGCATTTTTAAAGCGGCAATGAATTTTTAAACCTGCTCTCTAAACACCAGATTCGCGAGAACATGTCGTACATTCTCGCCAAGGCGGCCATTTTAAAGTTTGAGAAGAAGTACGACGAGGCGCTGGCGCTGCTGGAGACTGCTCTTCCGCGTAAGTTGAAACTTTTTACTGTGATGTATTGCAGCAGCGGCAACGGCGATGAATAATTGAAAAATGAGAAAAATTAATAATTCAGCGGTACCGCTGGGAAATCTGCTTCATTTTTTGTGGCATTTTAAAAATGCACTTTTTCTTTCCCTCNAGCGGTACCGCTGGGAAATCTGCTTCATTTTTTGTGGCATTTTAAAAATGCACTTTTTCTCTTTCTCTTTAGAACTGGAGCAAAAGGGGCACTTTAAATTGAACGACAAAATATCGCTGCACTTGCAAATCATCGACATCTACCTGGTGCTGAAGCGAATGGTACGGTTACTTGTATTTTTATATTAACACAAAAAATCTTAACTTTTTTCTTTTTCTTCCTTTTGTCAGGATNCGCTGCACTTGCAGATCATCGACATCTACCTGGTGCTGAAGCGAATGGTAATGTTTTTTGTATTAACACGAAAAATCCTAATTTTTCCGTTAGGACGAGGCGAACGGGATGATCAAGGCGCTGATGAGCGAGTTCAGCGAGCCCGCCGACCGCGGCCGAGTGCTGATCAGCTCGGCGCAGTTCTACTGCTCCTCAGGCGACTACGACACTGCCCTGCAGACGCTGCGCAACCTCACCCTCGACTACGGCGCCGATCACTTCATTCGCTCGCGGCAGATGATGGCCGCCATCTACCTGAGCAAGTTTAAGGACCGCAAGCGCTTCACCGCCTGCTACCGGTAAAACTGACTGTCACTGACTGATGAGCCTTGACACTGACACTGCAAACTTTTCTTATTTCTAATTCTTTCCTCTTTCCTCTGCAACCACTCGACAGTGAGATACTCGACCAGATTGCCTCCACCCAGTCGCATCTAATGCTAGGCGATGCGTACATGCATATTCTGGAGGTATGTGTGCGGCAATAATCGGCAGAGAGCACTTCACAGGTGCACCACTTTTAGTGCAACCGAATTGATATATTTCTTTTCGTTTGTATTTATCATGCACTATTCCTCTCTCCTTTTCTCTCCGCTCAGCCGGAAACCGCAATCGAGATCTACGAGGCGGCGCTGAAGAAGAACCCAAAGGATTACTTTTTAATTCGCAAAGTAGGCCAGGCGCTGATCAAGGCGCACTTCTACGAGCGCGCCGTCACCTACTACAAGGCGGCCATCAAGAGCAGCGGCCAGAACCTCTCCTTCTGCCTCGACCTGGGTCACCTCCTCTGGCGGCTGAACCGCTTCGAGGCGGCGCAGGAGGTGATCAACGCCGCGCTCGCCTCGTCCAATCTCAAGTGTAAGAGTGTTGAGTGGGGAGGTGGTGACCACCGGTCTGATTGAATTGCACTTTTTCATTCTATCTTTCTCTCTTTCTCTTTCCAATTCGGTCTTCTTTGCATCTTTATTTTCATCACTTCCAACTCTCTCCCGTGCTGTGAGCAGCCGTGGAAACCGATCTGAATGTTTACATTGTCAAAATCAAGTTAATGCATTTATTAGCTCAAGTGCAGTCACATCTCGCCGGGAAGGAGACGGCAATACAAACACTGAAGGGGACGCACTCGGAGAATCAAAAGTAAATGGGCTGCAGCAGTAGTAGTAGACTACACTTTCGGAAATTGATTTTTTCTGGAGACGAAACAGCGACAGTGCTGGCAACAATCGTCGCGCTGCCAATAAGACCGCCGCTCTGATCGCGATCAGCGAGCGCTCTAGAGGGACTCTTCACTTTCTTAGTGCTTCCCAGTGGTCCCCCCCCCCCGCACAGAGCACAGAGCACTAATCTGCAGCGATTTGTTCTACTTTTTCTCATCTTTATTTTCAATTTTCTTCTACCACAGACTGATGCGCCGCTTACCAGTTGAGCATCCGGATCTGCTCGATGAGCACCGAAAGTTTTCGATTAAGTGAGTCAGTCTTTTCTTTTCTTTTCTTATGTTGCTCATTGTGAGCTGAAAGCACTGGACAAAGTCACTGCCTGCTGTTGTTCTGTTCCTCTTCTTCTAATAATCTCTTTTCCATTCTTCTTCACTAGTTTATGCAAACAACTGGCCGACATGTTGAGCAGCTTTGCCCGGGACGATCGACAGGCGCTGCAAGTGTACAAGGACACGCTGGCGTACGACGACAAGAACACCGAGGTTGGTTGGTTGGTGATCAGCTTGCTTGTGTTGGTGCTGCTGGACAGAATTAATAACTGGTGGGCCCAATTGTGATGACGATGGTGGTGGTGGTGGTGGCAGGCCCGAAGCACTGTCTGCCACCACCATCATCATCATCATTTGTATGGCCGCCAGAGCGTTTTTATTGCAATCGACAGTGCGCTGTGTGACTGCACACTCCTCGATTGGGTCGTATTTCGTACATCTTCTGTTTATTACAATTACCCCGTTTCCTTCCTTCCTTCCTCTTTTTCCCTTTCTTTTCTTTTTTCCCTTCTTTTTGCCATCATCGATAAACGCACACACACAGATTTACTTGCAAATGGCCAAAATAGAGCTGCAAAATCAGAACTTTGATCTGGCGCACACGTACTGCACCACCATTCTGAAGCACTCGCCCAATTTGGAGGAGCCAATTCTGGTAATTTTCTCTCTTGCTGCCTATTCTCTTGCTGCTGCTATTATTATTCTTTGTCGCAACACTTTTATTTGCGTCTGTGTTTATTTAAAACATTTCTTGCAATTTGTTGTTGTCATAACCGGCGCTGTACTTTTTCCCCAATGCAGATGATGGCTGATATTACGTTTCGACAGGGCGACTTTGAGGGGGCGCTCACCCTGTACAGTGAACTGCTGGTCCGAGATCCGAGTAATAATGTTTATTGATTAATGATGATGATGATGATTGCTGATCGCTTTCAATTGTTCTACTTTTGCTATATCACTCTCTTTATTTCTTTGTTATTGACATTGTNCCCTGTACAGTGAACTGCTGGTCCGAGATCCGAGTAATAATGTTTATTGATTAATGATGATGATGATTGCTGATCGCTTTCAATTGTTCTACTTTTGCTATATCACTCTCTTTATTTCTTTGTTATTGACATTGACTTCTTTTCTCATCATTTTCCCTTTCTTCTTTCCCCAGCCTACTACCTGGCCATGATGCGCTTTGTAGAGGCAGCCCGACGCTCCGGAAAGCTCTCCCTCGTTCCGGGGATTCTCGAGCAGGCGGAGAAGCACTCGAACCGGGCGAAGTACGAGGCCGGTCTCACCTACTGCAAGGGCCTCTACGAGTGGCACACTGGTGCGTTGCGGAGGGAACACTGTCTTTTTATTAGGAATTAAAACACTAACTTCTTTCTTCCATTGAACGCATACAAACAACACAGGGAACAGCAATGAGGCCATCAAGCACTTCTACTCGATTCGCTTCGACTCGGAGCTGGGCCTGAAGGCCACCTATCACATCATCGAGATTTGCATCAACCCCGACAATCTGACCGTCGGCGGGGAGGTCTTTGAGAATCTGAACACCAACATCAAGTGAGTCAGCTGGGGGCAAACCTGCTGTGTTAACCTAGTGACCGAATTGCCGGTTTGGTTCCTGGAACTCACACACAACTTTATGTGTTTATGTGGCGTGCCAATGCCACTGTCTACTTTTTCTACTTTTTTCTTAGGTTCAACGAGCGCCTCACCTCTCAAGGGGCAGCCATTCGAACGGCGGAGGTCCTACTTGAGGTGCGATCGCACTATCAAGTGCAATCTACTTTATTGTCTCCCTCTCTCTCTTTCTCTTTTCACTCGAATTATTTCCTCCATTTTTATTTGCTTTCTCTTCTCTATTTTTACACCTTACCCAGGATCTTAAAAGTCAAAACATTGACGACTTTGAGTACCATCTTCTGACGAACTTTGCCGCCTTGGGCCGTAAGCAGAAGAACGACGCTGAATATGTTCTCGCCGAATTTATGAAGCTCCTGTCCGACGAGC